TGCGTTGCTATTTATTTACTCAGTAATCAGGCAGCAAATTGTGTTTGCCCCACAATTCACAGTGTTTTGTAGAAATTTTAAAGATACAAACAATGAGAATATCCCTTCTGACTAGGAGTTTGAAAGAGGATGGGGGCCTGAAATATTCTATGTGTTAAAATATGCAGTTTGTTTGGCGTTGCTAGACCAGCAGGGTGAAGAGGAACACAGTCGAATTTTGATAATGAAAATACTAGTAGTAGTGCCATTTAGATCTCCCAAATAAGCAAGCCTGAATGTAACTTGGTGACTTGGTGGTCTGTCTGTGTTTCATCCCTGAGCTGTAAACAAAGAGGCGGCAGAATCTGTGCGAAATAGGGTGGGAATCATCAGTACATTTTGCCATGTTAAAGCAAGTGTTTGAGGAAGATGAGGAGGAAAGAAAGGGCTGGAAGGTGAGTTATAAAGGAAAACTGTAAAAGGCATAAGATGTTAGAAGCTAATGTTGAAATATAGTAGGTGGAAAAGTAAAACTCACATCTAACAGGTAAGTCTGTTTTCGTTTTTTTTCGTCGGTGCTTCACCAGATAGTGCCATGTTAGCTGAAAATTATCAATCAGAAAAATCTAAGCGCATGCCTGTTCTGTCCGTGCAATGGGGATCCCATCGCTGGTGTCCACTATCGATTTGACAGTGTGTTTTTTCTTGAATCGCCAGCTTTTTGAGGTTGAAGAAGAACTGAATAAAGCGCTTATCAAGACGAAACTTATTGAAAACTGGGAGAATTGTGGCTGGAATCGAAGTGGTCGAACCGATAAGGGTGTCTCGGCGTTCAAACAGATTGCTTCGCTCATCGTAAGGTTAATTTCTTCTTCGCTTCTATAATTTAAGAAAAGTGAACAGCTCAATTCTGACACCTTTCTCGCTTCGAAATAAATCTTCTTCCTTTGCTGTCCAGCCGATAATGGCTTGCTTTTATACTTTCACTGGCTATTTTTTCATAGTCGCGTTCCTTCTCGCCACTGATGCAGCTGGCAACTCTTCTCAATTCTTGTCTCTCTTGAGCCTCTGTTATCCACATAATTTCATATAGCCGTTTAAGCAGATCGTTTCTTTAGCATTGGCAGCTTACCCTTTGTTCTATTCGCCAATTGTAACGTACAGATTGACCTTGGGTATCCAAGTAAGGAAAGCTTATAAGATAGAAAACAGGAGAAAATGGAAGGAAGAACGAATGAGTTAAGACGTTTCGGTCCATTTTGAATATTATTCATTAATCCGCTTTATCCAAGTTAATTACGGTGGTCTTCAGTTTTCGACGTTTTGTCACCTAGTTCGTGGAGGGTGGCCATAGAAGGTGCAGCTGTGAAGAGCACTTGCCCAAACCGATAAACAATAAATAAAAAAAAAACCGCGAAAAACTCACGAAGCCAGAAAAATTCGACATCAGCTCAAACTACCACCGGACAACAGGGAGCGTAGGATCCAAGCTGCTGCCACACAATTCTTGACACATTTTTTTTTTTTTTGACAACAACCACTACTTTATTTCTAATGAAACATCAATTCATATCGCGGAGAGGAGAACTCGAGTCAGGAGACGGGCCATTTGCATATCACATGGAATCAAAGGGCAACTGGGCAAGGCGAAAGGGTTTAGCCGGCAACTTCGTTTCTTGCCGTTAACACCTCGTTCCTTTCGCAATAAGCTTGTTAGAAATTATTCAACTTAATTACATGTGGTATTCATTTTTTGACATTTTCTAGTTTAGCGTTCTAGAAATTATTTATTCGATTCTTTAAGCATCGAAAGTTAGTGAAGCTATTTCACAACTTTTTCCTTGCGTCCTTCATCTTTTTGGTTTCATTTTTTTGCTGGTTTCTATACTCTTCCGACTAAATTTAGGCCAGTTAACTTCGGTTTCTTGCTTTTTCTCTCTTCCATACAAACACCTTCAACATCTGCCCTTGCAAAAAATGAACGTATCGTCTACTAACCGCTTTCTCCAGGCGCTTCGTCATTTTTTGGGCATAATTTTTTGACGTAAATGAAAATTGTAAGTTAAAATGAATCGCTTATATTAAACGATGGGAGGAGGGGGAGGGAGGAGGATAATTATATCGTTTAAGGCGCCGGATAGGTCAGTCGGTTAGACCATATAGTGGCCTGCTGCCTGGACAGTCGACTCGGGTGGAAGAGGATAACAGAAAGGTATAAATTAACAAAGGATGAAATAAGAATCAAAAAGGAAAGTAGGAGATGAGAATTACAAAATTTGTAAATCAGTAAAATTGTTTTAATTTACAAATTTTAATTTACAAAT